ATTATTAGAATCAGAGTCCCTAAAAAATTAAGGTCCATTACGACTGAGATTCGTTAGAACTGGGGCCCATTAAGATCCTAAATAATTGGGACCCTTTAAATTTGGGATACGTTAAGATCGGGACCTATTAGGACTTGGGCCCATTAGGATTAGGGTTCATTAAGACTCAGCCCCACTCCTAAATGAAACGCTAGATTAGATAAGCTAAGGTCCAGTTAGGTTAAATTAGGGCCTATTAGGACTGTGGCCCATTAGGATTAGGGTTCATTAAGACTCAGCCCCACTCCTAAATGATACGCTAGATCAGATTAGCTAAGGTCCAGTTAGGTTAAATTAGGGCCTATTAGGACTGTGGCCCATTAGGATTAGGGTTCATTAAGACTCAGCCCCACTCCTAAATGATACGCTAGATTATATAAGCTAAGGTCCAGTTAGGTTAAATTAGGGCCTATTAGGACTGGGGCCCATTTAACCAGTCAACGTCACGTATGGGTTGGTCTGGGGAAGGACAACTCCACATTGAAAGGTCTTCCGCCAAAACGTTCAGGACTAAATCGACCAAAACTAACTCGTGCAAGATTAAAAACATCTCGACCAGGAACATTCTCACATACAACCTCTGAAGCAGACATGTCCTTGTGTTGAAACGTCCGGGGTTGAAAGATCCAAGATTGGGGTCGAAACGTTCAAGATCGATACGTTTAAGATCGATACGTTTAAGGTCGATACGTTCAAGATCGATACGTTCAAGATCGAAACGTTCAAGATTGGTACGTTCAAGAATAAAAGGTCCCAAGTTAAAACACCAGGGATCGAAACATCGGGGATTGAAACATCAGTGATCGAAACATCAGGGATCGAAACGCCAGGGATAGAAACGCCAGGGATAGAAACGCCAGGGATAGAAACGCCAGGGATAGAAACGCCAGGGATCGAAACATCAGGGATTGAAACATCGGGGATCGAAACATCGGGGATCGAAACATCGGGGATCGAAACATCAGGGAACGAAACATCAGGGATCGAAACGCCAGGGATTGAAACGCCAGGGATAGAAACATCGGGGATCGAAACATCAGGGATTGAAACATCAGGGAACGAAACATCAGGGATCGAAACATCGGGGATCGAAACATCGGGGATCGAAACATCGGGGATCGAAACATCAGGGATCGAAACATCAGGGATCGAAACATCCACCTCATACATTCCTGGTGGGTGTATGAGAGCCCCGCTTATGCCTCCTCCACCCTCGCGTGCGTCCACAGCTCCACTCCACCTCCAGTTTCCTTAAAAAAGTGGAATCGACTTCGGTAAATTCGCGCCACCGACGTGTAATTACGTAATAAACCATTTCGATTCCACACATTACGTAGCCATCAACCTCCTGCTCTTGTTTTGGTGATTTTCTTTTGTTTTTCCAGTTAGTGTTTACATGTCTTTCTAATGCTCCCGTAAAATGGTTAATCTGATGAGGAATTTCTAATGAAAGCTTTTGTACTATTTTTATATACCTTTGTGGCGGTCGGGAAGTCAATCGTTCGACCGAGGCAGCTGACACCACGCGTGTAGATAGATAGATAGATAGATAGATAGATAGATAGATAGATAGATAGATAGATAAGACTACTTTAAGCGTATTAAAATTAATAAACTATTAATTATTACTATCTTAGCAATAATAATAACAATAATAATGAATAAATAATAATAGCAATAAAAAATACTACTAATATCACTAATAATAATAATAATAATAATAATAATAATAATAATAATAATAATAATATTTCACGAGTTTTATCATCAGCTCTGGCCACGAGAGCACCGAATAAGTTTTAATTTCCCGGTGCTTACGGTGCTGGTCTACTGCCGCGGTGCCCTGGTAGGTGTTGGCAGCGGTGAGGGTGTTATAGCAGGTGTTGGCAGCGGTGTGGGTGTTATAGTAGGTGTTGGCAGCAGTGTGGGTGTTATAGTAGGTGTTGGCAGCAGTGTGGGTGTTATAGCAGGTGTTGGCAGCGGTGAGGGTGTTATAGCAGGTGTTGGCAGCGGTGAGGGTGTTATAGCAGGTGTTGGCAGGACTGTAGGTGTTATAGCAGGTGTTGGCAGCACTGTAGATGTGGAATAGCAGGAGCTGGCAATATTGTAGATGTTACCAGCCCTATTGCTGAAGGTGTGCAGTACAGGTGTGTCAAGACAGGTGTGTACAGCAGTAATAAAGAGATGTGGGCAGATGTGTTGTGATGATGCAGCACAATTGGATTACCTGAAGGAGAGGCAGGCGAGGTAGACACTTAAGACCTGCCTGACGAAGGGGATAACTACCTCACCTAATGGATTTTTATCTTCTAATTGCAGTAGAGGCAATAACACGGCGCTGTGGATACGGATTTCTGGTCATGGTAACACCCAAGGCAGGTTCTTCCATTATATTTGTTGACGCCTGGAGGGTGTTGCTGCTGGCTATCGTGGTGATGGTGTGTGTGGTGTGAGGTGGTGGTGTGTGGTGGTGGTGGTGATGGTGATAGTGGTGATGGTGTGTGGTGGTGGTGATAGTGGTGGTGTGTGGTGGTGGTGGTGGTGGTGGTGATGGTGGTGGTGGTAGTGTGTGGTGGTGTGTGGTGGTGGTGATGGTGGTGGTGGTGTGTGGTGGTGGTGGTGGTGATGGTGGTGTGTGGTGGTGGTGGTGGTGGTAGTGTGTGGTGATGATAATGGTGATGATGATGATAATGGTGATGATGATAGTGGTGGTGGTGATGATGACAGTGGTGGTAATGATGGTGGTGGCGATAATGATGATGACGATGATGATGGTGTTACAGCAAAAATGATAGTAAGAATTAACAATAATATTAAATAACTTATTATTGTACTCTGAACCACCTATCCATTACTGTACTCAGACCCATTACTGTACTCAGACCCATTACTGTACTCAGACCCATTACCGTACTCAGACCCATTACTGTACTCAGACCCATTACTGTACTCAGACCCATTACCGTACTCAGACCCATTACTGTACTCAGACCCATTACTGTACTCAGACCCATTACTGTACTCAGACCCATTACCGTACTCAGACCCATTACCGTACTCAGACCCATTACTGTACTCAGACCCATTACCGTACTCACACCCATTACTGTACTCAGTCCCATTACTGTACTCAGACCCATTACTGTACTCAGACCCATTACTGTACTCAGACCCATTACTGTACTCAGACCCATTACTGTACTCAGACCCATTACTGTACTCACCCATTACCGTACTCAGACCCATTATTACCGTACTCAGACCATTACTGTACTCAGACCCATTACTGTACTCAGACCCATTACTGTACTCAGACCCATTGCAGTACTCAGACCCATTACCTTACTCAGACCCATTACCGTACTCAGACCCATTACTGTACTCAGACCCATTACTGTACTCAGACCCATTACTGTACTCGACCATTACCGTACTCAGCCCATTACTGTACTCAGACCCATTACTGTACTCAGACCCATTACCGTACTCAGACCCATTACTGTACTCAGACCCATTACTGTTACTCAGACCCATTACTGTACTCAGACCCATTACTATTACTCAGACCCATTACTGTACTCAGACCCATTACTACATTACTACTCAGACCCATTACTGTACTCCAGACCCATTACTGTCTCAGACCCATTACTACTCAGACCATTACCGTACTACTGTACTCAGACCCATTACTGTACTCAGACCCATTACTGTACTCAGACCCATTACTGTACTCAGACCCATTACTGTACTCAGACCCATTACTGTACTCAGACCCATTACTGTACTCAAACCCATTACTGTACTCAGACCCATTACTGTACTCAGACCCATTACCGTACTCAGACCCATTACTGTACTCAGAGACTCCTATTCACTACACATGGTTTCTGTATCTTACGTTATCACCCAATTTACCCAGGTATTTCATAATTAAAACCTTGACCTAAAACCTAATTAAACCAACACCTGTAGGACAATTTACCTGTTGTTTACATGAGGTAATTTCTCTCCTCAATGCAGTTCATTTATAAACCCAGAAGTCAAGGTTTACCCCCATAAGTTAATGTGTTTTATGTGGTTTATGTTGAGGTAAAGTTAAACCAATAACCTGACTCTCTTAGGGTTTAGTTTTATATTATGTGGTAGTGTGAAAGAAGAGCTTAAAACCACATACATACATACATACACATGGATCAAATAATCACATACATACATACACACAGACAGACAACACACACACACAAAGCACACACACATACACACTCACACATACATGCACAATCACACAAAACACACACATACACAGACACACACACTATGCGAAGTCAATAACCTTTTTTGTCTTCTGAGTAAAGTTTACAGTGGCACGACCGTTTGACTGCCCCCCCACACACACACACACACGACAACAATAACCCCCTTTGCGCTCTGAATGAAGTTAAGAACACGCTTGTAAACGGCACGCTTGTCTACCCTAAACGGTGGTGCCTGATAGTGGACAGAGGAAGGCAGGTGAAGGCCAAACTTTTATATATATATACACACACACACCGACGACACTCTCCTCCCACACATCGACCTCCCCCCACACACACACACACACACCGACGACCTCTCCTCCCACACACACACACACACATCGACCTCCCCCCACACACACACACCGACGACACTCTCCTCCCACACACACACACATCGACCCCCACCCCCACATATCGATCCTCCCCCCCACACACACCGACGACCTCTCCTCCCACACACACACACACACCGACGACACTCTCCTCCCACACATACACACATCGACCCCCACCACCACATATCGATCCTCCCCCACACACACACACACACACCGACCCCCCCACTCCCCACCCCCACATATCGATCCTCCCCCACACACACACGAAGCGAAATCAATAGCCCCTTCACCCTCTAGATAAAGGTGTACAAGTACTCACTTGTAGACGGAGCGCTTGTCGGCCTCGAACTGCGCCTGGTCGTGGTAGCTGTGGTGGTCTGGAGGGAGAGGTTGGCCAGACAGACACTGATCGTGGGTGGGCTGGGCGGGGGCGTGGGCGGGAGGCACAACGGGTTGGGGCGTGGGGGCAGTGGCACCCCCCACGGCGGCGGCTCCGGCTGAGGGAGGGCCCCCACCACCGCCACCCTGCTCTGGGTACCCGGCTGTCATCATGATGGCGACACACACAACGTCACGCCCCTCCGGCCTGCAACAACAACAACAACACGCGTCTAGTAAACCTAAAATATACCTTAAACTTAAAATTAACCTTAAATCATACTTTTAAGTTTTCTATGAATAATGCCTTAAATTTAACCAAGATTACCTAAAATTCTACCTACGATATACTTTAATTAGAACTAAAATATACCTAAAACTGTTTAAACATATTCTTTAAGTTATTCCTAAACTACCCTTAAAATTGAACCAAAAATATACCTTAAAATATAAGAGATTAAATTATATTACCTTGAGTATAATTAAAGTTTAGGGGTAAGTAATTATCTCCCCTGTATACCTAAAATATACCTTAAAATACACCTAAAACAAAAAAGTCGTCTTGAAATTAAACCATAAAGTATATACTGTATTCCATACCTAAATCACAACACGTTATACTGAAATTACACAAAGTATATTTTAGGATCCCTTAAAAATAACCCCCCCCCCTTTAACTCTACCCCCTACCCTTAAAACCACGTAGGGGTCATAACCACCTCACATACCTAGTTTCATGAAGGTCAGGTCAAAGTTCACCGAGTATTAGGTCAACAAAAGCAGACGGACAGAGATGCTTTAAACTCGTCCCTGGGTACCAAGTTGAAATTGAAAGTTTGTGTTATTCTGTCACATAAATGTTTACTTTAGGTAAATAGAGGTCAATGTTTAGTCGCCAACAGAGACAACACAATCACCAATGTTGGCGGCAATTAATTGTCCTCAATGTTCAGACAACACAAACATTGGTTGGTTAAGTAGAATGTTTAAATTATGGCCAACATGAAGTAATATTTATATTAAGAATTACCCTCAATGTTTACACAATATCAAGCAGAACACAGCACATACTGTTCACTCCATTAAACACTCAGGGATAACATTAACATTCACATACAAATACTCACAATAAATGTTTAAGGAACATAAGTTAACATTATCAAACCTCAACACTTACAAATTAAGAGATAAACATCACTAACAATCACCTCACTTAACTACAACCACTTTTCAAACATCAATAAACACATTTAGCGCCGTTTACACCTCACAATTACAATGAATGTTTAAACAGCAATAAGAGACAATAAACACCATTTGATCCAATATTTAAACACAAATGTTGGCATCATTAAACGACATTCATCTTTGCTAATGACAGTAAACACAATTAGTGATGTTATAAAGTTAATTACCTCCACTGTTCTTTTTTTTTTACCATATAAAACATATTATTTAATTCTGGTATTTAATTACACTCACTTATTCTAACATGGGGTAAAAATAATTAGTGTATGTTATAAATTACCTCATTAGCCTCAAAGATACCCAACTAAATTAACCTAATTACCTGACCGTCCACATACCTTAATTACCTGACCGTCCACATACCTTAATTACCTGACCGTCCACATACCTTAATTACCTGACCGTCCACATACCTTAATTACCTGACCGTCCACGTACCTTAATTACCTGACCGTCCACATACCTTAATTACCTGACCGTCCACATACCATAATTACCTGACCGTCCACATACCTTAATTACCTGACCGTCCACATACCTTAATTACCTGACCGTCCACATACCTTAATTACCTGACCGCCCTCATACCTAACTAAATTAACCCAATCAAGTCCTAATGAGCCTCAATCTTAATGGTTAGGTTAGGTTCTGGCTCTATTAGGACCGGGACCCATAAAGACTCGAGCCCATGTCACCTGCAACTAGCTAATTAGACTCAGCCAGTCTTCATAATGCTTGGCTCAGGTAGCGGCTCGGCTCAATAACTTGCAATATTTGCTTACATTTACATTCACTATTTAAAAAAAAAATTACAATTATATTCGCTATTTTACTATTTTTTTACAATCAGATTCACTATTTTACAACTTTTTTACAATTATATTCACTATTTTACAACTTTTTTACAACTAGATTCACTATTTTACTAATTATTTACAGTGCCATATATGGTGAAACTGTTCCTACCCAATTACTGAGAAGTTGGAGGAGAGAGAGAGAGAGAGAGGTAAAAACCAGACAAAACTAAAAAAAATAAATAAACAAAAATAAATAAATAAAAAAAGTAAAAAAAGAAAGTAAAGAAAAATAAAGAGAATGAATAACAGTGTTTCATTAGAGTTTGTTATGGTATTAAGGCTATTGAATTTACTGAAGAAATTTCGGTCTTTTTAGGTCTCTCTCTCTGATCCAGCGGTAAAGTGAGGAAACAGTACTGTGATAATCCACCCGTTGTTATCCACTTTATCCACTAGTGATCCACATCCACCATCACTTTCATCTACAACTATTGGTGCTACATTTAAATTGCTGCCATTGCCCACCACAACTACCACCATCACTATAGGTACACCACAACTACCACCATCACTATAGGTACACCACAACTACCACCATCACTATAGGTACACCACAACTACCACCATCACTATAGGTACACCACAACTACCACCATCACTATAGGTACACCACAACTACCACCATCACTATAGGTACACCACAACTACCACCATCACTATAGGTACACCACAACTACCACCATCACTATAGGTACACCACAACTACCACCATCACTATAGGTACACCACAACTACCACCATCACTATAGGTACACCACAACTACCACTATCACTATAGGTACACCACAACTACCACCATCACTATAGGTACACCACAACTACCACCATCACTATAGGTACACCACAACTACCACCATCCTACCACTATCGGTCCACTAACACCGCCATCGGTCCTGCAAAAACATCACCAACACCGGTTCAGCACCATCACCAACGGTCCACCATCATCGGTCCAGCACCAGCATCGCCACCGGTCCAACATGAACGTCACCAACACCGGTTCAGCACCATCACCACCGGTCCACCATCATCGGTCCAGCACCAACATCACCACCACCGGTACAGCCTCACCAGTACCATCGGTTCAGCACCAGCACCACCGGTCCAGCATCCCCGTCGGTCCAGCACCAGGAGCGAGCGGTCCAGAGCGAGCACAACACACCAGGCTGGCCCGGCTCGCCCCCCTCCCCGTAATGGGCTCGTAACTTGTCTAAATTAAAGCCCAAACTGTTGGGCCAACATTCAAACACTAATGCCGCTCATACAGCATCATCTGAGGTCTTCCCTCCCTCCTGGCCTCTCACACCTACCTCTCCTACCTCCTCACACACTTAACATACACTCACACTCACTCGTCTTCCTCACGCTAAAATTTAATCGAAGTTGTCTCTGTAATCTCTCAAATTTTACGAGGTCTCTCAATCTTCATCCCCCGTGCCTGTGTGTGTGTGTGTCTCTCCCTCCCTCTCTCTGTTCCCTCCCCATCTGTCTGTGTGCTCTCAGGATTGGTTGTGCAGTGAGACAGATTGGTTTACTTACCATCTCTCATTTTCTCTCTCATCTATCACTCTGTGTCCTTCTCAACACTTCTTGTCCTCCTCCCCTCCCCTCCCTCTCTCTCCCCCTCCCACTCTCTCTCTCCTGTCCTTGTCAACCCTCTCTCTCTCTCTCTCTCCCTCCTCCTCTCTCCTACCACCCTCCTCTCTCTCTTCTTCCTCCAACCTCCTCCTATTCTCCCCTCTCTCCTCTACCCCCCCGTCTGGAGCAGAAAGCAAGGGGGTCTTGGTACCAGACTAGGCATCTTATATACAATAGATTTCACCAGTTAACCCGCAGGACAAGGGAGGGGAGGGGCAGAAGGGGGGGAGGGAGAGGGGGCGAGGGAAGAGGGAGGAGAAGAAGGCAGGGGAGAACAGGGGAGCCAAGTGATACCATCTGATGCAAAGTTCCTCTACGGCAACGACACAGAGGCAACAACAACAACAACAATACGTAGATACAAGTAATAACACAACAATCACCAACCATCATTACTACCACGATCACCAACCACCATTACTACCACGATCACCAACCACCATTACTACCACGATCACCAACCACAATTATTACAGCAATCACCAACCACCATTACTCACAATTACCAACCACCATTATTACCGCAATCACCAACCACCATTACTACACAATTACCAACCACCATTATTACCGCAATCACCAACCACCATTACTACTACAACCACCAACCACCATTACTACCACAATCACCAACCACCATTAATACCACAATCACCATGAACAAATAAAATAACAAGGAGACAATGCATTAAAATAACCCGAAAAAACATTACATAAAAAATCACACAATATAAATAAAATCCCATCAAGCAGGTTTTGGGTTGAGATTTTACACCTTTTAGTTACTTTGGGATTTTACACCTATTAGTGGCTTTGGTATTAATTAAGCAGCCACGGGTAATAAAAATAATTAAGCAGCCAGAGTAGTAAAATAATTAAGCAGCACAGGTAATAAAAATAATTAAACGTACAGGTAATAAAAATAATTAAGCTTGTACAGGTAATAAAAAATAATTAAGCTTGGCCACAGGTAATAAAAAATAATTAAGCAGCCACAGGTAATAAAAAATTAAAAGCTTAATACAGGTAATAAAAAATAATTAAAGCAGCCAATAATAAAATAATTAAGCTGCACAGGTAATAAAAATAATTAAGCTTGGCCACAGGTAATAAAAATAATTAATCTTGGCCATAGGTAATAAAACTACCTTTGAAGTGATTAATTAATATTAATGAAGGTCGTTAATTATACTTATATCGATGTCATTTTTTAAAGATTTTAATTGGTGTCACTTTAGATCGTTTGTGGTCGTAAGTAACAGGGGTCGTTTTAAGTAGTGGGGAATTTTGGTCGTTTTTGTGTTAAATCACATAACGACCTTACTTCACAGGGTCGTTTTATTCAATAATAAATCACAATAACATAACGACTCACATCAAGAGGTCGTTTTAGTTTGCAATAAATCACAATAGCATAACGACCCACACATCAAGAGGTCGTTTTAGTCGATAATAAACCACAAT